TTTGAATATCATTAAAGACAATCATTAATATTCTGTGTGCAAAAAGCCACAGTTTGCCCGAAAAGGTGCTATTGCATGCATGGTAACATAAGCCTTTCCTGCTTGTTCTGATGACCACAAGGCCGGAGGCTACCTCAAAACCAATTCCCTAGGGAATGCATTCATGCAATTTTTGAAATTCTTTCAAAGCGATCGTAGTACTTACACAAATGCCTCCGCCCCTGAGGCGTCGCCAAAAAAAAACGTTCCCTGACTTTTGTCAGGTTTGATTACGACTTTGATCGTAGATTTCTAAGCCCGGTCACATCCTCATAAGCTAAGGCTGGGATAGTCTTATATATAACGCACGAAATCAATTGGCTTCTGTCACAGCGTTTTAAAATTCGTACGACGGTCTAGCTACGACAAAATGTGACGGAGCCGTACCTGCCCACATAACCCGTCTTGCTTAGAATGCTTCAGTACGTCCTATTGGAGACTTGCATTTCTTTCGTACGTAGCCATTAATAATATGACGCACTTTCTCCTCAAAGACACGGCCGTGCGATCTGACCTCCTGACTTTGATGACTACTATCATGGAGAACATGGTGGGTGTGGTGAGCTTTAAACGACTATTCACATCTCACATTTAAGTTTCGTTCGAATCTGATAGATACAAAAACTAATAATATATCGCACTGGGCTTATGACACCAAAAGAAACTGATGATTCAAAGACATTTTTCACTCGCTGTCCTGTATTTGCATCATCAACATGTTTTTCTAAATTAGTACTCATATCTTTTCCTGGTTTACAGAAAAAAGGGAAGGATCTTGGTGCGATCGAGAAGGACATGTTTATGAAGGTATACGTAGTAATCTATATTGAAAAAAAACGCCACGTGTAATGCAGATTAAAACTCTTAAGATTATTACTAAATCTTTCTCACTAAGTCAAACAATGCGGCGTTTACATGCATATTCGTACTTAAAAAGCCAAATGTAAAGACTTAACTAGAATCTTCCACCACGTGCCCAGGTGAATTTGAATGACGTGTTCTCCATTCGTCTTAGGACTTGAAGACGTCAGCACTGTTCGCTGACCTGGATGTTGCCGCTCTCGATAGGGTTCTTGTGACTGCAACGGACTTCAACACCGACGCGATCTTACGGTGTAAATGTCTCACCTTTTCACATGCTTTTTTTCTGATAGATTAAATTTGTCGGTCGCTTCAACATATCTAGATGTACTCGTATCATAGGAATAATTTCAACATGTTTAGCAAATCAAACACAGGAGGTTTGATGGTCCCTTATCAACAAGGGACCATCATCAGTTCTTGTGGGGAAGGCACAGAAATGGCAGTGCCAGTGAAAATTCCATATCTTTTCTATCTACCGTATATTGTGCATATTGCAGCAGATTTCATCCAAAAGAACAGAATCATTGTCATTGTCAAGAATTAGAATTCTTTAGACCTGGAAGTGTTTGGTACATGTGACAGATATTGTGATGGTCCAAACCGACAGGTGAAGAAGACGCCTTCATCATGGAGACCAAGGACGTGCACGAGTCTATCTTTATCCAGGCAGCTTTAAAGGCGCGGTACTCAGATGTGCAGCACTGTGATGGCTTCAGGATGGGCGCTCACCTCGAAAAGTAAGACAGGGCCCTGGGTACATGTTAGCATTGTTAGACATTGACGAGGGCGGTAAAGTACTAGTATAACTGAGTGGGCTTGAGCCGCGGCTGGTAAGCCATGCTGGAGAGGTAGTGCGACTTGTCTAATAGTGAACTATAACTATCTGTGTTTACCTTGTGCCTGCCACTTTTTGGTAGAGACTTAGGGGTTGGTCACACACGTCGTACGATTATCGCACGATCGCAAAGTGAATGCATTCTTGGGATAGTCATGCATATATGTATGTCATGCAAATTTCAGCTGTCCTGTTACGGAAATGGCTGTTTTAGATCATTGTCGGCGGACGTCGGTTCGGCCGCAGCCCTCTAGAAAATCCTACGACATTAAATTTCGTACGACGACCTTCGACGACTGTAACCGCATCGTAAGTACTACTACAATGTTCTCCCCACTCCAGCGTGCGTAAGCTGTTCCCGGCAGACTATCACACCTGCTCGTTCGCCACTATAAATGTGACACGTCACAAGGACGCTGAGAAGGACGGTCCGTACTCTATGGAGGTCTACGCCGACACCTTGAGTAAGGACGTTTGGAAATTAAACGTTGGCATTTCTAGACATGGAACTATCACCGTCATAGTCTTATTACTCCCCCGAGAGGTATTTGTAAAAATAAGAACCATAACACCCTGACTCTCCACTCTCTGACATATTTTTGCTTCCGTTTGCGTAGTTGGCCGTCTGAATGCTGTTGGTAACATGGACCTGATTGGAACAAGTATGAAGGAGGTGGCCATTCCGGTAAGTTTACTGATCAATGGTTATTATATGAACAGGCAATGGCCCAAATATCAACCTATCTAATAGACCGATCCTATAGCCCCACTCACCTCCATCAAAACGTAGAAAGGAATAAAAATTGAGTGCAAATGCTCGTTGAATGAACCGTTAATTGTCATGCTGTCATTAGTTGAGTTTTTTTAATTGTGGACAGTCAGGATCGGTGCGTTGTGTCTGGCAAGGGTGAATCTTTTTGAACATAGGTAGGTAATGGGGCCGGGGTCTTTTTTTAGGTCGTCCATGGACTTACCTCGTCATTACCTTCAACAGACAAAGGAAGTTCCTTTTTCATTCATTAGTACTGACGACTTCATTTTCTTCCCTTGTCCAGCCTGAGAAGGAGACATACAGCTGTGAGGTGACCATGACGGCGAAGGCCTTCCGCTTGCTGATGCAACAAATCAACTGGGTGGGATTCGTAGCCGTTTCTCTATCTGTTTGTGTATTTTTATGTGTAACGTTATGTGTATGTGTATGTGTTATGTTTATGTTTATGTGTATGTGTATGTGTTGTGTATGTGTATGTGTATTGTATGTCCATGTGTATGTGCATGTGCATATGTATGTGTATTGGTTGTGTATGTGTATTGGTTGTGTATGTGTATCTTTATGTGTATGTGCATATGTATGTGTATTGGTTGTGTATGCGTATGTGTATTGGTTGTGTATGTACTTAGTATATGATTATGTATATGCATAGGTATATGTATGTGTATATGTAACTTTATGTATATCTGTATGTGTACATGTGTTGTCCAAAATCAGCTGCTGAAACCGTGAATGTTCCTTTCTTGCACGGAAAACAGCCTGCAACGATTCAAGTCAAATCTTTCCTTGGTGCTGAAATGCCATCATCCAACCTAAAATAAACAGCTGTTTATCTTGTCGTGAGTTCCTAACATGATATCACCGTGCACAAAATTGCGTTCTTCTGCAAGACGCCGAGTAGGTGGTACTGAACAGTTGTGGTCTCCTGATATGTCATCCATTTTTGTCAAATTAAAGCTAATATCTTGAAGGGGTGTCGTTAGGAGTTCAAATATTCGGAGAACGATATGTAATAGGAGATAGTTGGCCAATGCATGTAGGCGTACATTGTATTTGGCTGCGGAGAGTACGAAAGAACAACTGTTGCTGCTCTTGTTCCCAGCTGGGGAAGGATTTCACCATCTCCTGCACACTGCAAGATATGAACTTCACCGTGACAGACGATGGAGGAACTCATGCCTTTCTACTCAGGCACTCCCCCCGTATGGAGGTACGTACAAAATGTGCTGGCGTCGAATGGCATGAGGTCATGGGTTCTAATCCCTTGCACTAGTCCTTGGGAAAGGCACTTTACAAAACTTTCCTCACTTCATGAAAGTGTGAAATGTGTAATTGACTTCGGTTGGGTGGGTAAAAGGCAGTGGAAGGAGGAGGCTGGGTTCCGCCTTTTCGATACCGTGTCCTAGACAAATGCAACCCACTTCCCATGTGGCCTAAAACGACTATGTGACCGTTTCCATTACCCTGCAAAAACCACTTGCCCTTAAGGAAAACGATTTCTTTACATAGGAGAACTAACGCTTCACGTTTATTCTCCGTGTTTTTCCATGTCATACTGTTAAGATTGAGGCCTCCCTGACCGGCATAGTGCCACCTCGGGGCTTTGTGACCGAAAAGCTGTACAGTAGCACCCGGGTAGAGGTAGCCTCGGCCACGGTCACACTGCGACTCGCTCCCACTGGACCCTTGGGTAGGTTCGGTATCTTTTTCCTCTACTTCAACATGTAACAGTCGGAGAATTTGTTCATTCTATCTTTTAGAGGGGTACGGTTATGCCTGCCGGATTTTAAGAATGGACACCATTGTTAATATGCAATAAAACTTACTAAGACGTTTGTTGTGAAATCACCCATACAGTTTTGCACTACCAGCTGAAGAAGGATGCCGATGGTCTGCTGAAGAACCACAGTCACATCACCTTCTACATGGAGAGCACACAGTAGAGACAAGCCAGCTTTTATCTTAGACTCAAAGCACATCCAGTGCAAGCAATATGTATTTCTCAGTAACAAGTTACGTTGTTACGCTGATTCATTACCACATAAAAGGATTGAGATAACGTGACTATCACCTTTTTAAGATGTGAACCCTGAGACCAGACTGTAACGTTAACTACTTGGATTGGCCAGGTTGCATCACAGGAATTCAGTAAGAATCAAGTAAAACATTATACTTTAAGAGAAGTGGAGAGTAACTTTATTAAGCGTCTAGGCATCACATTTGCCTTGTAGTGGAGCTGTACTTCTTTAGCCATGGGCCATAGGTCACCGAGCTGAACGTATGCACACTGTGCACTCCGAACATACATACAACACACACTGGGCACTTGGTCTGCTGAATCATACAATAAAATGCATACTGAGTATTGGACCGACGGGAGTAAAACAGGTTTCACAGTTACTCGAACCCGCGAGGACACCTGTGGTTTTGGTCTGTGCAGTACGTATTTCTGTGATACTAGTTGGAGATATCTCACACTCATATCCCGCCCCGTATATTTTCGTATTCTTTACAAATACATCCGCTAGTATATGCTCGTATTTGTAAATGATACGGAAAGATACGGGCGGGATATGAGTGTATCCGAACCTATATTTCGTCCAGTGTTAGTGAGTTGAACCTGGATTTAAAAAAAACGGCGTGCCATCCAAATGTATTACGCGGAATGATCACCTAGGTCGTTGAACTTGCCAGGCTAGGGTAAATGGAACTGTGACCGAACCTTCGGTTCGACTGCCTTCGATCGAACGTCAGGGTTAACTAAGGTCAGGGTTAACTAAGGACAACTTCCATATATGGTGTTATTGTCCGTACGACGCGTCGTCAGTTACGGTCGCATGGCAACAGCGTAGTAACAGCGTAGTCAACCGTTTGGTAAATAAGAACCTTATCGGTAGATTCCATCTGGTCACCTTTGTACTGTAAAGTGTACTGTAACAGGTTCGTTTTTTTCGAAACTCGAAACATCCCTCATGTGAAAGATTTTCTTTGACGCGCGGAGGACAATTTTTCCACCATGGCGACACTGGAAACTCTCGACGGGCGGATGAACGCCACAGAGGCGGCCATCGCGGAGATCAATGCCACGCTAGGCGTGTACGCCGTGAGCTTGGACACACTGCTGCTCATCCTGTGCGGCTGCCTCATCATGACCATGCAGGCAGGCTTCGCCCTGTTGGAAGTCGGCTCGGTCAAGGTCGCCAACGTCCACGCCATCCTGCTCAACAACGTCATGGACGTTTGTAAGTGATGTCTTCGCGTGACTTTTTTTTAAATACATGTAACGCCTTATATAAGTTATAACAACAAAATCTGCAAGGCCGATAAATGAGACTTGTAGGTTGTTTGGTGACCTCGAGAAGTTATGGTCAACTATGTATCATAAGTATCTTGTCTCCTCTTTCACCGCTTATTGGGGATATCCTATCCGGATTTAGGTAAATCTTTTCATGGGCCTAACATCCGTGTCCATAATATCACCAGGGTCCATAATATCGCCACCTTGAGAAAAAGTGTGCTTAAAGATATTTTACCGCAACATACTTTTGGTATGCACTCCTGCACACCTCAAATGTACATACCCAGGGTATGTTGCAGTAAAAATATCTTTAAGCACACTTTTTCTCAAGGTGGCGATATTATGGACCCTGGTGATATTATGGACACGGATGTTACATGTGTGCCGGTACTGGATACAATACCGCAAAAATAATTTGGTTACAGGTCCAAACGTGGTCGACAATAAGTAACCCTAGCACACTATTCTTCATCATAGACCTTAGTAAAAATAGAGATATAATGTCCTTGGGTAATAAAAATACATGTTCGCACGTACAAGTTATAGACTTTTTTGAAGAGCTGATATTTCTTCCCATGAGTGGGTTACACATTTGGCTCTGTCCGCGTGCCTTTGATGACGTTTTGAATAATTCAAACGGCAATATATTGGTTGCCCTATGTTAGCTTGCTATCTGCTACAGCACCAACGGGGTTGGCTTGTCTCCATAGGTGTTGGTACTGCAGGCTACTTCTTCTTTGGATATGCTGTGGCGTTTGGCGAAACAACCAACGGATACATGGGGACGGTGCACTTCGGCCTGAGCCACCTAGAGAGCGATGACGCGCTGACCTGGGTATTCTTCCAGTACTCATTTGCCGCCACGGCCACCGCTATCGTGTCTGGGGCTATGGTTGGTCGTGCCTCGTACCATGGGTACCTGATCTACTCTTTCGTCATCACTGGCTTTGTGTACCCAACTGTTGTGCACTGGACCTGGAGCGGCAGTGGCTGGCTCAACTCTGATTTGTATGATCTTGCCTACCAGGTAAGCGGGGATTGTTGCCATGGTGAAAACAATAATGATCGGGGAAATATAAAAGGAAAATCTGCAAATATGTGATTCAGATTTCGCTTTGAAAGCCAGTAATTTCATAGAAATGCGTACAAGCGGCTTTGATGTAACTTTTTATAACGTTAAAGTGAAAGAAAATTGGACCAGATGTTGCGGGTCAGTGCTCCTTTCGAGCAGATTATGAAGATATTTGAACATTTTGATGACGCCCCAGGGGCGAGCCCAATAGTATACAGTGTATATCATGTCCTAAGAATTCTAAAAAATTGGTGTGCGTTCCTTTGAATCCATAGGAATGTATCATTAAGGAAGGGATAGTGATTTTTGATGCATGTATAGAAAGATTAAGTGATGACCACAACCACATCACAAAACTAATTCATCAGCATATGGGTACTGCTAACGTTGAATAAGAGAAGTAAAAAATGTTGCCATGGCATAAGTTTTTTTCTTGTCAAAAATTCCAGTTGAAATTGGCCTCCACACATAGACTAATGTGAAGTTGTGCTCTTGATGAGTTCCTCAGGACTTTGCAGGAAGCGGTGTGGTGCATGCCTGCGGGGGGACTGCTGCCCTGATGGGGGCCATCGTACTGGGCCGCAGGAAGTTGGCCAAGGATGTCGAAGAGCATGCCATCTCTGAATCTGCTCCAGCCCTGGTCACCTTGGGTAAGAAACACAACAATCATTCATATTGCACCTCTCCTGTTAAGAAAATAGTCATGCTTGCTGCTTCTGACAAACTTACATGTAAATATAGAATACAACACGGGGTATTCCGTATCGCCCGAGGTATCGGCCTGACCGCGGGTCGATCCGACTCGCGGGAGGGCCGGGACCGAGGGCGATGCGGAATACACCATGTTGTATTTTATTTATGTCATACCCGCCCAAGAAAACACGCCTTTCAATGCAAGATGAACCAAAAGTTAGTGCCACTGAACCCTAAACTGCAACAACATCAATTCCAACGTCCGGATTCTGTATTCCAATTTTCGAAAGGGGCACACGCGGTTAGGGCGAAACGCGTTCGAATCGTTTTATGGAAGCCAGGGAAGCGCTATCGAACGTTATCGCGGCCCGGGTATGATATAAGAAGGGTTATGTCTTAGGAGGCATTTATTTGGCAACCTAAGACCACATATGTTATATAACCTAGCTGCATAGTCACCTTACATTGTATCATCTACATTGTATGTCACAATTATGATGGTCAGGTATAACATTATCATAACAGGGGTCGCTTTGTTTGTTTGTTTGTTTGTTTACTTGTGATGTACTTTTTAAACAGGCTTCTTCATCCTGATGGTCGGCTTCTTCGCCTTCAATGGCAGTTCGCAGGGTGCGATGTCTTCAGACGGAGACGCTGGTGCCGTGGCCCGTGCAGTTATGAACACTGGTCTGGCCTGCGCATCTGGTGGTCTAGCCACCATTCTGTTTGAGCGTCTGGTTCACAAGAAGATCAATGACTATTATGTGCTGTGCATCGTAGTGAATGGATGCCTGGGAGGAACTGTAAGCACATCTAGATATGCCAATACAGTTATTATAGTAAATTTACATGCTGACTTGTGTCAAAGAATTTTATTTCCCAAGCCCTTGCCAGTTGACTGAAAATGGCTTCATGTTTTAATCTAGGTGGCAGTCTGTGCTTCTGCTAACGTTGTGACTACATACGGTGCTCTGCTCACTGGATTTTCCGGTGCCATTATTCACTGTCTGTGGTCCATATCCCTGCACAAGTTTACATCCATTGAGGACCCTGTTGATGCCACCGCAGGTAAAAATCATACTGATGTTGTAGAAATTATTAGTATTTGGCTATTTAATTTGACTTATATTTGGTGAATGGTGCCCATGGGTTGGTTTCCCTGAGCAGTGAGAGTGGAGTTACAACTACTGACTGTTACTGTAGCATTGGTATTTCAAGAACAGAAAGCTGCCAGAAAGCCTATTAACTCTAGTCTGTCTACCCTGTATCTTCCCATAGTGCACCTGGCACCTGGAATTTGGGGTGTAATTCTTTGCCCCTTCATGGATAAGGAAAATGGTATCTTCTACTGTGGCTATGCTGGACAGTACGATGCCTGGCGCCAACTTGGAGTCAATGTGGCTGGACTTGTGGCCATCATTGCATACACTGCTGTGATCACTTTCTTCATCTTCACCGGTAAGTTGGGCCCTTTTCCTTGAAATACAGGCTTTCTTTACACTGATCTTACTCTTTAGTGAAGTAGTCTAGTAGTCAGCTGCCTGTTGATGTTGACTCAAGTCAATCCTTGGTTATGCATGGCTGATGCTCGTGTTTGCTGTTGAAAGTGTCTTCTGGGAAAGTGGTGTACATTTCCCCCTCCCAAAGGTTCTGATACACACGTAGAACTGGCCTAATCAAAACCTTCTTCGTGTCCTTCCCAGTCCTTGACAAGGCTAAACTGCTCCGATCACACCAAGAGAAGTTGGAGCACGAGGCAGCTGTTCGGCTTCACGAGGAGGAGCTGCGCCAACAACACGGATCCGGACATGGATTTTTCCATGATGTTTTCCATGGCCATGGACAAGGTAATGCATGTATTCCCACACTCCCACAGTTCTCAGCACACTCATATTATAAATTCTCTCACCATTGTTGTGTACACATCTTTATTATGTTTGTCACTGGGTTGTTTGTAAAGGGTTGAAGAATATCATGTACTTGGGTATCACCAAGATAAGCCTGTCAGATTGCAAACAAGTGGTTTTGTGCTCATCACCAACTACATGTATGAAGAAAAGAACTGCATTTTTGGCAATCTACAAGATGCCGTGTTACACAGTTACTTAAATTGATGGGAACTGTGAAAATTTTACACTTTTGACTGTTTCAGGGAGTCTTGGTAGTCCTTCAGGGAGAGCCTGTCAGGGAGTGATATTACTAATAAATACATGTAGCACATCATTTTATCTAATAAAACCTATTTAGCCCTGGCCTGATGCTCACTAACTTTTTGATTCTTCTCAACTCTTTAGCTGAGGAGCCAGTGCCTACAAAGAGTGTCTCCTCTGTCTTTGCTGATGCCAGTGCTGACCCAAGTGAGACTGAAGTAGTCTTCAGAAGCCAGGAAGCATCTGTTATCAGGGACAGTGTGGTGTAGACAACTCACCAGCACAGCTGGAAAATCATAGCAGCATCTGAATATCACTTGCCTATTTTACTGCAACATCTCATTTTCCTGCCATTTGTTCTCAGACGAGGTCTTTTCTGAAATAAGTGAAAACCTGCTCTTGGAGTAGTTCTTGTTGTTTCACTGTAATATCCAAGTATAACTGAACAAGTCACTGATTTGATGTTTTGAAAAGTATAATATCATATATACAGTTACTGTACTTTCACATTCATACTACTAAAGTCCATTAATATGATACATGTGTATGCTGACATTGTTGTCTGAACTACTGCAGCTTCAGTGAAAGTGTTGCAGATTTGTTAGGAAAGGTATTCATAATGCATGATACTATCCAATAAAATGCTGCTAATGTTACAGCCCTTATCTAGATTCTGAAACAATTTTTGTGTGAATTGTTTAATTCTGGGTGCTGAAGTATTGTTTTGGGTGGATGAGCTGTGGGTTTGTGTATCTGTCTGGACAGGAGAAGGTTGACAGGACATGGGTGGGGATTCAAAGATTGACAGGCGGAATGGCAGTTCAAGTGGTAAGACAGAGGAATGGGGCCGGGTGAACATGAAGGTATCAGAATCTGAGCAGGAGCCAGCAGGAATATGGTGGGTGACATGGGGGAATTCAGGACACCAAACACTGTTCCTGAAGATATGAATCTTTGGTTTAATGGACCTATACCATTATTACGTCACAGTTTGTTTACCGCAATGAATGCCGGTCAATCGACGTTTACTAGTATATTGTACAGGGGTGCGTAGCGCAGTGTGTGTTTGTGTAGCGTTAGCTTAATATAAGGCTTTTAATACAGTACTACAATGTACTTTCGTCTAATGTCACAACTAAATCACCCATGCGGCATGTAATGCTGTGTCAACACACCAGACGCAGCAAGAAATCAGACATACCTTACTTTGAAAACTTTGAAATGATCTTTATTCTTTAACTGACCATTCTAGATTGTTCTTTACTTTAGAACAGGTAAACAAACTGTGATGTAATAACGGTATAGGTCCATTAACTGGTGTCATTAATTTAACAGTCAAAACCTGTTTGCATTCCTCTACAAATGTAACAGTCAAATCCTGTACACATTCCTCTACAGATGTAAGTCAAACCCTGTATATATTCCATTACAACTGTAATGGTCAAAACATTTCTCTAGTCATTACTAACTGCTGTAAAGTAGCTGTGCAATGTGTCATTTAGCTGCGGAAAATCATGAAATCATTTATAGGTTTCTTCAAAACTTATGTTTGAATGATACCCTGGCAATTTGTACTGCTTCATAGATAAACATTTAATTTACTCACAACTCAAATACAGCAAAATACATGACATACCAGTTCAATTTGTTGTTTCTCAGTGTTAGTTGACTTCTTAAAACTACAATTACACAAGATTAAAACTATAATATCATGTTTCATATCTTGCTAGGTACATGTAATGTTGTTACAAAAAGTCTTCTTCCAAACTGCCTCATGGTCTTTACAACAAAACCACCACAGATTGTTTTTCAGACATTTTTCTTTAGTGTGCAGCACTGTTCCATTCCATTTTTTCTCGTTAAAATTCTTCAGAAAAAAAAACAAATCAGCATGGACTCAATGCTCCTTGCAGTATAGAGTTTTTTTCTTTTTATCATAGAATGACAAATTCTAATTAAAGATTTAGCAGCAAGTATTAACAAAATACTACATGTATAAATGAACTGGTGCAAATAAAAACCATCAGATATTGTGCAACTTAATCTTAAAAGATTGCATTGGTGTCATACATGTGCATACATTTTACATGCCTCGGGAAAAATAGCTTCACTGTAAACATTGGGTACCTCAAGTGAAGTACAAAGGCACAACTCTGTATTTGTTTGTTTATATACATGTAGAAGAACTATTGCCATTTCAACAGTTTCTATAGTCTGTATAAGACACTGAATCATCACTACATCACTATAATCTTTTCATATCAAAGGTTATAACTGTAATATCTGCTGAACTAGAAATACAAGTATTGTTACCGTTCAAACCCACAAGACAACTCTGGTGTCGTATAGTAAAGTGTGGAGAACAATGGTGTCATGGCAACATGTGGACAACTCTGTTGTCATGGCAACAAGTGGACAACTCTGTTGTCATGGCAACAAGTGTTAGTGAGTGTTGATGTGTTTTGTTATGGCAATGTGTAGAACATCAATGCTGAAATCAGACTCTACACTTATGTAGTCAAACTTGTACGAGGGAGTGGACTGCCTCTGCAATAAGGACCACCTGGCCATTGTGGCTAACTTTTGGCAGCCCCTTCGATTATTTTTCTCATTGACCCAAGCTTGAAGAATTCTGTCTACATTGTGACAATATTCTTCATGTCGCTTGAGTGGTCACATCATGGCATTGAGAGCATTCACACTAGTGTCATGGTAACTTCTAACAGATTGGTGCAGCTAACAGAAGGAAGGCTGGCTTCTTAACAACATGAGCATGGAGAACAATGAAGACAACTTGTAGAACAGTAGTGCTAATGTCAGGCGAGGCATTCTAATTTCATGGCAACAGCTTGAACAAGACAAAACAATGTTGCCCTTTGGCAACTTTCAGAATGTGCTGAACTGAGAAAGGTGCACTTTCACTGATCAAATTCATTGTCCCCTTAGTTAATTTGTTACGCAACTACATGTACATTTTTGTACATTGCACACATGGCTTCCGTCTTATAGCAGCATACGGAATTATTGCTCTATGGGAAAGTGTTTTCTACAAGTAGTATGGTAGCTACAGAGTTATAAGTTACTGTTGCACATGTACAATGATAGTAACTAAATTTAGCAGCAAAACCCTGAGAACAGTTTTCAGTAGTGAAGCATCACATGTACAGATATAGATTGGTGGACAACGTTAACACACAATAAAGAAAACACACTGAAACAAAACATACAATGAAACAAAACAACAACAACAAAACTGTGCATTATTACTATACAAACACACAATCCTTCCTGTTCTAGTTTTTGTCAAAACTTGCAGCATTCCTTGTATTGCATCTTTTTGAGAAGCCACTAATATTGCAGGTATCCAAAAAAAGCTTTGCAGGTTTTGTCCACACTAACATAAACCAACATCTGACTACATGTATTTTCTACATGAAATTGCAACTATGTTGGCCATCTTTCCACTTTGGTGTGTAGACAACAGGCCAAAACCTGAATGTACATATTGGCCACTCTGTCCCAGTAATTTCATAAACATTTGTGGTATAAAATAGAGCTATCTAAAAAACCTTATGTATGTCTTTTTATCCAAAGTGTGACAAACATGTGAAACAAAATATATTGTCTGTTAGTAAAAGTCGCAGTTTACGCACAGCAAAGAACACTTATTCATTTGTCTCTTTGCAAGGTAAACCATCAAACTTGAAATTTCCTTAACTTATAACAAAAGAGGTTGCTGTGGAAGTACTGCTGCGCTCGTCCCCATGTAGCTGCTTCCTGTACAGACGTGCCCGTTCAACTCTTGTTGGGAAGACGACACTCTGAATATACTGAACTAGGAATCTGGGGAGAAACAAAGGGCGTACATGTAAATGTGTGAACATGTGCTACATGTAGTGGCAACAAGTGGGGTATGGATGACTTCCATGTGTTTAGTGTAAGAGGAAATTTGTGGTATCACTGAGAATAAATGATAGCAAAGATGATCAGCAGCACTTCTTGTGTAAATGACACTTTTACTGTGTAGAGTGAACATTGTGAATGACATAACATAGCTGAATGTGTGTGAGTGAACATTGTCCAGTGTAGAATAACACAACTGAATGTGTATTGTGATGGTAAAGATAGCCCATAAAAAATTGAATGGCACAGCTTCATGTAGCTTAATTGTGGTGCAATTGTAAGCAAGTGAGGCTGATGCAGAATCAGTAGATGATGCACAAGATGCATGAGATGAATGCACAAAGATCCTGATGTACACACATATAATGAAGTAAAGATTAGCCTCCATGCAGATAACAAAATAAAATACACCTTAGAGTATAACTACATGTATGGTAGAAAATTCGTATACAGAAAATTTAATTCAGATACAGAAAGGGGCATCTAGTAGCAACTACAATGAGTCTAAAATGGAGAGGTGAGTGAGAGCTGTAGAAGCAATGGTTGTAGGTGGCTTACCTTGGAAACAGGGCTACAACAGTGGTCAAAATCAACAGTAGCCAGTGCTCAGGGGTGCTGATGGTGTGTTGGAACAGCCAGTAGGGGTTCCCCATGGGGTTACAGGTGACACAGCTTGCAGAGTAAGCCAGACTGAAGACCAGATACAGCAGTAGGCTCGCCAGCATTATCAGCACATGAGGGTATGTCTGCAAGTTCAAAAGATTTTGATCTAAATCAGTTTTTTAACAATTTTTGTTCATCATGAACTGCTTTAAGGCATCATAAGCTGTTTTGTACAGTAAGTACAAGATGCACGAGACCATTATGGTTAGTGTAAGGTTTGATCCACTCACATCGGGACCCCAACTCTATTTGATGAATGTGGTGGGATCTTTACTGTGCTCTCAGAGTGGGATTCAAACCAAGAAAAACCCTACACACCACAAGACCACCTTTGAATGATGGACACTGGGCAGAACCCTGGTATCTTTACGTTCAAATCACCATCATACGATCCTGAAATACAATGTATAATACTGCCATGTAAATTTGAAGACTTAGTAACATCCCTTACCCAACGTTTGATCTGTATGGCCAGATGGGCCAGAGTGACCACAAGTGCAACACCCATCACGGTCATTCCAAACTCCCAGATCCCCACATCGCTATCCATGTACGCCTGCAGAAATAAAAAGAAAAAATTATTACAAGTATTTCACTGACAGAGGTACATGTATTCTAGGGGAAAACAGTACTACACAGCTGAGCCATACAAATGTATCCTTGTTGAGTACATGTATTTAATTGTTGAGCAGGCTGATTTTTGGCATGTATTCATTTTTGTCTTTTATAAAATGAAATAGGGTACCATACATTTGTTTATTTTCATGGGAACTTATTTTCAGGGAAGAAGGGAAAGGGAGGTTTTCACAGTTTACACTCATGTAAGTTTGCAGATGAAAAAATTCAGAATATGTAGAACAGTTATTGTACTCTAGTACAACAAATGCATATTTGCGGCGTCTGTCATGAATTTGTGGAGAGGTCACCACTTCAAAATGCACAAATGTTTCAAGACTTACAGTAGCCGACATAAACATACCCCGAATGGAATGAAGAACATGACAGCACTCTGGTAGAGGGCGTCACATATGTTCCACCAGAAGTGTTCCCTGCGATAGGTGCGGCTCTCCCTCCCCACAGCATACAGCTCAGGGAAGCTGCTCAGGGCATCATCAGGGAGATTCTGGTCCAGTATACCTACCACTATCTGTTGGGAGAGATGCAAGCAGTTACAAAATGTGTTATTTCAAGTATCAAACAACTCCTTAACCATACATCATTTACAAGGTACATGTAGGATGTTAAATTACATAAAGAAAGAAAAACTTTTGTCACTGCAAACAAATTTTTTTGTGTATTGACCATGGTATACACATGACTTTCCTATTATGTTGATGATCCAGTTAATTTTTGGTGATCTAAAATTTTTGATGACTTTCTGATCTAAGCTTCTTTCTGCTTCCTGCTGTGATTTATAAAATTTGCATATACAAAACAAATCTGTAGTCAATGTTGATAAACATCTATTGCAGAGGGAGGGTTGAACTCAAAGTGAGCCATCCTTAGCTTCAGGAGTAAGACTTTGCCCTCTGACCTGTGGGGCTGATGTGAAGAGGATGTTGAAGAAGAGGAGGTAGTACTGGTCTCCTGGTGCGGAGCCTGAGAAACCATTCAGCAGCTGGTACCAGAATAGGATAAACACAAACGCCTGCAAACAGAAAGAAAAAAGAATTAGGAAACGAAATGGGGACCTACATGCACATATAGACATTCTCTAGGGACATCTAGACATCTTAGAAACAACGTCTAAACAGGGTACCCTCATCTAGACATCATCTGGACACACCTAGACATCCTGTCTGGATGGGGTACATGTAGATCCATGCTGATTTTGTTTAGAGATCATGGATGCACCCTAACAATGAAGCAGATATAGGATAAGAAAAACTTTGTAAAAACCTTTATCCAATTGCAAACGAAATTAAAAAAAAAAAGGTACATGCAATGATGACGGGCTCAAGAACAGATGACAAACAATGGGCTTACAGCATTTTTGTAGAAGAAGTAAGCCACTACAGTTGCCAGCCTGTAGTAGCACCAGTGCCCGTGCACCAACAGCAGTCTGCGTAGAAAGGAGAAGCGCGGTGTGGAGAAGTCGCTGGCCATGACGGCCTGCATGCCCTCCTGTCCCATGATGCCCACCCCGATGTCTGCTGCCTGCAGCATGCTCACGTCATTGGCACCGTCACCGACCGCCAGCGTCATCACGTTTAGTCTGGAGAAAAAAGGTATTGCCATTGTCTTTCATTTGACTTAACTGAAAAGCTCCAAGAAATTCAAAAACAACTGTTTGTGAACGGTGAAGCCTTTAGTCTGTAATCATGAAATCATTTTATGGAAAACAGAAAAGTTGGATGTTTCAAATAGCATCCACTATCTTTCAAAGATGATAAAAAATCTCAGTCCCTGGTGAAAGATAGCAGATGCCATCCAAAACATCTGAAAATGACTTTTATTTTGCATAATGTACCTAGATAACCCTTTATTGAAATGCACCATTATTTGAAAAGACACTACAATACCATTTTATACTTTATATCTGACAAAACGTTGCTAACAAAAGAAATCAGCATTTATCGTTGGTATAGTAAATGTTCACACTGCTATTTTTCTCCACTGCCCCTTCCTCCGATCAATCCATTTGAGCTGCCCCAAAGTGCAGCAATCCATCACTCACTTTTCTCTGACTAGTCTCAGCATGTTGGCCTTCTGCAGAGGCGTGGCACGACAGCAAATGACAGCCTTGCATTCCCGCGCCACTGCCAGCAACCAATCAGCTCTCTGCTCCTCGAGAAGCAGGGCAAGCGTTCGTCCGTCCACAACGAGACATGGATCCCCTGACGAGGCATTTCCTTGGAGGGCCTTAGTTGTTCTGACTGGGTTGTGTTTAGGTTGCTTATGTCTTACGTCTGAATCAGGTTCAATCCATGCTGCTGGAACTACTCTTCGTATTCTCTTGCCTATGTCTAGTGATGAACCGTACATTCCTTCACTCTCCGAGCCAAAACTGGCATCACTGGCACCATTTCTCTGCTCCTTGATGCAAGTATTTGAAGCTTCCACTGCATGACCACATCTGCAGCAGGAGCTGTGCAGTTTCTCCATGTAGGAAGCTGTTTCCGGACGGCACTGCGGACAGCCACAGGTGCCCAGTTGGAGACAAATCTCTTTCAGCTGCTGGTCTATCAGCTTCTGAAATGGCAAGAAAACACTGGGTTCACTTCTTGCAGCAGTCTAGCCAGTTTTTCTTTCATTATGATTGAAAAAAATACTTACCACGTGGAATTAGATAACAAGGTCACAATCAGTCAAATAGCAGAGCTGAATAGAGGGCCTCTGACGTCTACTAACATCCACCAAAAAATGCATCTAATTTAGTTCTCAACAGATCTCCAATGCAATATCAGCCAGTAAGATACACTCCTGCATATCTACATTGTGCATACCTGGGAGTGCTGCACAAGTGATCTCTCAAACACATTTAACAAAGCTGCAGCAATATAATGTAACTCAGTGGATATATTTTAATGGAGCTTATGTAAATAATGATAACTTACTGCGTCATGACAGTTGAACTTGATGACGTTGTCTCCCTTCTGTAACAGGTGACAGGAGTAGCCGATGTTGATGGCTGTTTCCTGAAGGACATTGGAATAAAAAGAACTGTATGTAAGACTTGCAACTTCTTTTGTGGTCATGTATCAGAAGAGATAAAAAAAGGGTATGATGTGTAACATACAGAGTTAAGAACATATCGTAAAGGGACAGATCAGAGGGTAAAACTGACTTGTTTGTCTCCCGTAAGCATCCATACAGCCAGCCCAGCCCGACGGAGTGCAGCAATGGTATCAGGTACACCCTCCTGTAGTCTGTCCTCCACACCTGGCAGGAATGGACACCAAACAGTTGCAATGTTAAAGTTTAATTTGGAAGACAATAACAAGCACATCTTTTGTTATAGTAGAAAAGGAACATGCTCTTTTGATAAAACATACATTGTAGAACTGTATTGTACATGCACATTTAGCCCCCTCCATGCAAAATTCTTCCTGCCCTCCTGCAATAAACATGCTTCTCACAGCCAAGTACAGCCAGTACATTATTTTGCCATCACTTTTCAATCCAAATGTCTGCTTGGTAGCAAATGTCCTCAAAATCAACGTAGTTTAGGGCTCCACTTTGTAGATCTGCTTACGTAAAAAAAAAAGACAAAACTCTCTGGCTATCAATATTGTCTACCAAAGTCCAATGGAAACGAAGGAACCATGACCACCTGTGGCACCAAGCAGCGTGAGACCCTGCTCCAGCTTGCAAGCACACATGTAAACCATCTCATCGCGAGCCTCCAAATGCTGTGCAGCTTTGGTGTACTCTTTTTGCCAAGTCAGATACTCTGCCTCAGTCATAACCTGCAGATAGTGACATGACACAGTGTTTTCATGATCAACTCTGAATTGAAATGTTTGAATTAATATTGCAAGCAATGCTTGTATTAGGTTTTGGCTTTCAAGGACTATAATTGCAGAAATATTGCATTCCGCTACACTCGTACCTTTCTGGCCATACAGAGAGTCCTGAGGCCCTCCTGAGAGTAGTTCAGTAGATGTCCCTCCACTGTAAGCTGTTTCTCTTGATCTCCTGTGTATGAAAATGTGCAAGTTCAAGATTAGACTGGACCATTTGATAGCAAATACAGCTGTGTTACTGTGTCAGTAGCTTTACAAAGTGGAAGCTACGATGAGTTTCAAGTTGCATGTGAAAACTAACTACATTTGTAATTGGATAGTAAATATGCTACAATGGCTAAAATGACATTAAGCTTGGAAAACCCACCTTCAGCATTGGCATCTAGTTGGGAGAAAATGGCTTCATCTGCTCCCTTGCAGTACAACACCATCTCACTCTTCTCAGGATACTTCACAATCACAGACATCCGCTTCCGCGTGGAGTCGAAATGGAGGATGTTCAGGATTGTGAGGGTGATCTCGCTTTTGTCTGGTTTACGGATTCTCACACTTCTCGGTGTGCGCTCTAGTAAGGTGTAGCCATACGCTGCTGCAGCGTACACCAAGGCAGCCTCATCTGGACTCTCTGACTCGTACTGGATGGGTGCTGTTTGGGGTACACTGCCAGTGCTGTCTGTCTCAGGTTCAAAGGCAATGTTGTCCCCAGAAACATCCCATCTGGCCCCACTGGCAGCACCTATTGGGGGCTGGCCATTGGATTCCTACAGAGGAGTACAATTGGTTAGGTCAGTCTAAAAAAAAATTATTGCAGACGCAACTTAAGCAAAGTTTTCACTTTCATTTTTGTATCAGTTCAAAAAAGACTTTTTGATCATAAGCCTATCTTTTCATGTTTTCATTTTAATTATTTGAAGAAACCCTACACACATCATCTCTGAGGCAATTCAAACCATTCCATATTTCACAGAGCTTACCTGTGGGTCATGATGCCCTGTAGTGACCATGACAGTATTGCAGACACAAAGCACCATGAAAAACTCTTCCAGTTCACTGCAGTTGCCCTGCTCTCCACCAGGAGGTGCTTCAGTGTATACAGACTCTACAACTTCTTGGAGGATAGAATTTGGCTCAGGCAGCATCGGATGGTCCTGGAGTAAACACAGAACACATCCTTTTAGTACACAATCCTCATTGGCCAAACCCTTATTTCCGTCATAATTATCAGACATTGAGCATTAAAACCACAGCTGAGCTAGAAAGTCAAATTGAAGATACGAAGAAGTGTTCATTACCATGACGAAGGCCTGGGTTGTTGCTCCAGGGATATGGATGACACTTTTACGGAGTGCCTCCTCTCCCTTCATCTCATCTGGAACACAAAGGCATTTCAATTAAGTTGGGCTTCATGTGCTGACTTCACCAAATTTGGCCTGATACATGTACTTCTCAGAACAAATGGGCAGCAATAAACGGTAATCCTTGCCACCCTGTGCCACCTTAAAAGCAATCCATGGAAAGTAAGACAAACCTGATGGAAAGCACAAATGACAGTCTGTGTGAACAGTAGGTTCTGTACAGGAGGTTGAGCTATGTACATGTAAATGCTCCAACACCGTAACCACTGTAAGGGTAACCGTATGATTAGTGATAGTGATGAGAGAGGAATTTTACTACATGTACATGTACATTGCACATGTACCATCATGTACATTGTACATGTACCATCAAGTACAGAAGGGGGCATCTTCCATAATTAGATAATTCCAAAGAAAAAATGGAGTTTAATATAATTCAGAAGGTGTGGCAATTAGTTGTACTCCTGCATATGCATACATGGCCACTAGGGGGCATTGTTTATGTTGTTCATGTACATTTGTGTAGCAGCTATGTTTCATTCACAAGTCAAGAGGGATGAGAGACAGAAACAATCTTACCAGAATGGCTATTGCCACATTCTGGTATGTTATTCTGCTGTACTGATTGACATTAACAGCTGTCTTTTCTGTCATGTATCTACCCACCTTTGATGGTGTGTGCGTAATCTTTCCCTCCAACTGTGCACCTGCGGAAAACCATCATGTTCTCCGTCAGCGTGCCTGTCTTGTCTGAGAACACGTACTGGATCTGACCCAGGTCCTCCGTGATGTTCAGGGCGCGACACTGCAGCGACGTGCCTGAGGAAGAGGAAAACAAGTTGGATAAGCTAAAATAAACTCAGCTGGTTTTCAGTTAGATATTTGACAGTAGGTGGTTGTGTCACAGTCAATCTCCAAATTCCATAGCATCATAATCGTACAACGACCTACAAAGAATGTGACTGCAACATGAGGGTGTAAGATACTGACCTGAGGAGTAGTCATACAGGTGTATGTCCTGGTGGATAAACCACACTTGTCCCATCTTGATCACTTCAATGGAGACGTACAAAGACAGTGGGATGATCACCTGTAAAAGGACATTACAGAAGAATGAAGGTCTCAGAGTCCTATTCACCTGAAAAAAACATTAGCTTGGTACAACCGCAAAACTTGTCGCTCAAAATGTACAAAAAGCATACCAGACACTAGGTTATGATATCAAAATTTTCAGCATGCCCCCCAAACCTCCTTCAGCACTTGTGACAGTGCACATTAGGTCATCAATGTCTCACAACCAATAAGATATTTCACGCCACAGCTGCTGTACGCGCAAACGTGGGAGTAACAATCAAATCACCAAAAGTATCTTGGCCTTGAAGGGCTTACAGAGTAACCAGTAAGTTCTGCTGAAAGAGTACAGTGTGTTTCCACAGCCCTGTCCTACCTGGAAGATGATGATGTACATCCAAAAGCGGATGAAACCATCCAGTGCTGGGTTCAGCCCTTCCTGCTGCCCCTCGATGGGAGGAATGAAGATCTGGGCACTGTCCTGAGGGTACCAGTTGATCCACAAACCATTGCCTAGGGATGATATGTGAAGATTATTACTTTATTCAGGAAATGATACATTGCAGCCATAGGCTGAGTTGTGTAATCGTAACAAACAGCTAACATCATTAGAACACATAAAAGAGTAGCAATGTAGAAAATTCTACATCATAATTTACTAGCCAAAATAATACATTTTCTTTCATACTGCTTATTGTTTGAGGAATATTAAAATATATGACAATCCTTTCTCTTGTCTTCTGTTGGTTCCCGGTGACAATGTAATCAATAAGCCATTATCATAGCTTGTTGCTAGAAATTAAGAAATCCATAATTTCCAAATAGACAGAAACTGGAGAGCACAATACCCACCAATGCCCCCTGCCGCACACATGATGACCAGGATGACAGCACAGAATGCGACGTCGATGTTCATGTGACGTTCTAGCTTACTCCGCTTGTACCGTGGGCCACTGTTGTTCAGCATGGCCTTGGTGTCAGGGCCTTGATTGGTGAGTGAGAAGCCAGGTTAGTTGGGAAAAAATGATAATGACACTGAAAACTCTGTGAATCTGATTGTGGATGAAATTTAAAGATTCAAAATGCTAGAGTTTCGAAGCTTCCAGGTGACAGCAAATAGAAGATGTCTTACAGATTAGCATTTCTTTGCTCCATTTTGTCCCCATCATTGAGGGTTCGCAAAATAAGGGGCTACATTAGCATAGTATTATACAGCATTATACCGATACAGATACAGCATTAAAGTTGATCAGTAATGACATACCAGCATACACCACTATTCCTTCAATGAAGTCAGTGTTCCTCAACACACAGCCTCTTTGGAGCAGCTGGGCCTTGGACAGAGGAAGCACTGTCTTGTGATGTTTTCTGAAAATGTAGGTAAGGTGTTTAATGTAAAGTACTGGTGTTAACACATGAAGGTTTGTGCATAGTGTGTTGAGCACATTGAGCATATGCTTATCCATATCCTAAATCATGATATGAAACGTGGCCATACATTTTAGGTCTAAAAAATGAGTCACTCACATCCTGCCATTAAACTTGTACACATCACTGCTTGGCCGTCCACACTCAATCCAGAAATATGCCCCGTCCTCCCAGGATGGCGCCTCCTGGAATGTTAAGAAATCATTTCACAACTTGTCATTAATGCATTTAATTTTTGTCATATAATGTCAGCTCTGATACATGTAATTCCTCAATCGACATGGTACCTAAAGACCATCAGCTTGAAAAGAATCAGTGTTATCGAGGCCTTGTCAAGACTGTCTTGAACACCATCTGAAGTGTGCCTACCTCAGGGATTACTGATGCTTCAATAGTAAATTTCTTTCTAATGATATTAGTACAATGAGTTGTTCTCCATACCTGCAGTGGGAGTGCTGTTTCTCTGGTCTTCAGGTTGGTCTCCCCATCCAGGTTAGCTGTCTCTAAATGGCACACACCTGGGCAATGGTGGAGACAGAAAGCAACTCACTATACTTGAGCAAAGCTAGCGCAGCTCAGAACACTAGTTTCCTAATACAACTTGGAAACTGATGTAGTCTACAAGTCCAGTTAACAACAAAATAATTCACACCCCTTTGTAATTGTTCTTGACTTGGCAAGGGCACTAGATAATTTTCTTTTTAACTGTACCTCCCACCCCTCAGCAGATGTGATGTCACACACTCCTACCAAAGAAGTTATTATAATATAATAGAAGCCTTGTCCCTACCTGTCTTGTCACTGCTCTTCAGCAGGACCAGGTCAGCTGGGATCATCTCATTACAGCCCACATGGACGACGTCACCCACCCTGACTTCCTCCCACATACAGCCCTTGAACTGTCTCTCTGCTCTGAGGAAACAAAAAAAACAAGTTTAACCTATTCACAAAATGGTGCCTAGATGGGGGTCTTAAATCTCTGAGACTTATGCTTTTTGTAGGTGTCATTGCCTACAAGTTTATGGAAGTTTATGGGAAAAGGCATGTTCAGCACCAGACAGAAATTCACAATTACTTCACAATAACACTAAATACTTCACCTAAATCTTGTTCTTGCCTACATTACCATGATCTGTGACATACACGCACCTGTTGTAGACTCTGCATATCCTGTTGTTGACCTCTTTGTCCATCCGATAGCGCCGGTAGTCTTCATAGATATCCTTAATGGCCGTGACGAGCAGGACAAAAAGGACAGGCAACATGGCCACCTCTTTCCCAAATGCTTGTACCTAGGTAGAGGGGAACAGTTTGACTTAAAGTTAACAACACAAAAACCAAATACCTTTTTTACATTCCCAATTAATGGTACTGATGAAAAAAAGAAAAACTAACAAAAGAAATAGAATCCCACTAAAAAGGGCAAGTTAAAAAAAAGAGTTTTATAAATCCTTCTCTGCCATAAAGACTGATTCCATAGCCCTACCCATCTCTTTCAAAACATAGAAATGCTCTCATTGATTGAAATGCTAATTGTGATGGACAGTCAACATTGGTCTCTTAGTGATGTCACATGTTTGTCTTTTAAGGTAGGGACATGTAACTTCATTGATAGAGATGAGCCACATACACATGTATGCATGGCAGGTAATGTACCTGTATAATGATTGGTGTAACACCCCTGTACTGACCTGTGGTACAAAGTTGAGGAGAACGATGAAGAGGAAGTAACAATTGGCCAGACGGTGGAACTGCTCAAACAGGTTCTTGGGCAGAAAGGACAGGATTGTGTACTTAGTGGTCTGGATCTTGTTCCCAGGATAGTTGAGGTAGCTAGCCCTGGGATTGAGATGGCAATCAAAGAATCGTATTATAGAGTGAACAGCTAGAACTATACATGGATTTCATGTTGTACAATCAGATAAATCCAATTGAGGCAATTGAATGCATAACACTTCTAACATTTTCAAAAGTATGTGTACCTTTTTAATCTATGTAGCAAACGAGAAGCATATTATTCAGAAAAATTAGCAGGATTGAGATTGGTTACCAAAAGGCTTAAGCTTCACTGTTATTGTCATCATCCATTGTTATAACTGTAACCATAACAGTGTTACTTGTGTCCTCCAACTTGTGATTTATAAGCATTGTTGAAAACCACTGTTACAGAGCATGGCATGCTACATGTCAGAGTCACTGATACAGGATGAGAGGAAATGCCACCTTATGAAATATGTATGGCACAGTATTGATCTACTTCTTTATTTCATTGTCAGCTGGAGGTTACAAAAACGGTTACCTATCAGATATGATCAATATCAGTGTTAGCTCTGTCATGGAGAATTTATATTTCATGCTTCAATTTGCTTCAAACTGCCATTGGATAAATATCATTTCATGGTAATGTACCAAGAAAAACGTGATGAACATTTTCTGGTACTCATTCAGCAAGACAGTCAGAAACCTTGCAGCTGTACTCGTACCTGTCTTATACTGGTAACTGATGAAATGATCCAATAGACTGTATAGTACAAAACATTCAGGAGCAGGCCCAAATCAACACTCTCACAAATGTCAACTATGAAGCCAAGTTTGCGTGACATTATATTTCAATTATGACATGGACAGTACATGCAGATGTAGTTTTACCTCTAACATTATCTGTGTATCTAGCCGGTATAACTGCCCTTCAGCGTAACACCTGAGCTATTACATAATGTTTTTTTTTCATCCTTTACATTCTAGTTACTAGTTTACTAGTACATGTAGTACACTAAAACCAGTCAGTATAGCCCTGAGGATCGTCACCGAAACATTGGCTTCATCAATCACTAAATTATGGTTGCGTAAAAAGAATCTCTTTATTAATTTGCTTGGAGACTATCCATGACTTAATTGTAAATGCCACACTGACCTGTCATCTGTCTCCTGTGTTCCGAGGTTCGGCGTGACGACTCGTTTTCCGTTGTCGACATGGTTGTACGGTCCATTCTTGTTTCCCATGATCTGTCCCATTGCACTGTCATCTGTCACCTCACCATCATCACCCGGGTGGAATACTCTGAGGGAAGGAGTAAAACAAGTCTTAACTACTGGTACCTAAAAAAACATCTGGCATTAAAATACAATGTGTATTGAAAAGAAATTGTATCATTCAATCATAGATACTTCTAGTACCCCTTGTGTTGAATATAAACAGGAAATGTTGTATTTTGTAAACATGTAAACATATTTTGTGAGGTAAAATTGTAGCTGAGCCGGTATTTCTGATATTGCACCTACATTTTGAACAGTAAGCTGCACAAGCCCAAGTACATGTATTGTGGATTTTTGTTTACAGCAGCTATTGTTAATACCAGTAAGGAATTTTGAAATGGTTATCAGTTTAATTTGACTCTGTCATAGTTTTTAAGACCACTTTTTCCAGCAGAGTCTCATATGGACATATGGCTTTTCGGGTGCATTTTACATGTTACAAGCACCAGTGCAGGTATGCACATATATATTTTGGGCCCCATTTCATTTTAAGCCCCACGAGCTACTTAGACATCAGGTGTAGTTAAACCAATATCATTATTAGGCTAGTCCCAGAGGCATTTGGGTCACCCAACTACAGAGTCTTGTTGACTTCATTTTACATTTATAAGTCTATATCTATATGTACATTTATATACACATGTAGAGCTGAGAGTTGCTATATTGCCAGGTGACCAGAGTTGGATGCTTGGACAGGTTTAACTGCTCTTAGCTCTCAGACAGCCAGAGGGCAAAACAGATTCATCACCTTTTTGTATTGTGGTAACAGACAACATTGACCTCTCCACCTCTAGTAGTGCAGATACATGGTACATGTATAACTTAAACACACAGAAAAAGACGACATGGCAGCTAATCTAGTATTGGGTGGGTGAGGTGGGGGAGGGGTGGGTGTACATGGTTCCTCCAACTACTAAGTACATGCCTGGGTAAGAGACTTGCCCTGAACTTAATCACATATGTTGGATTGAAAACTCAGCTTTTTACTGTCTGTTATCCATTACAATCAATGGAATGACTAGGCAATTTCGTTCAACTGTGAAAGTGGGTCAAATTCCTGATAAAGACCAATGGACATGATGGTTATTTCCTTATGTTTGGTAACAGTAAAAATTAATAGCATAAGTAAGCAGAAAATATGAAGACACAAACCAAAAGCTTAACGTCAGACCAAAATCTGAGTTGATTGAACAATGTCTTTTTGTTATAGACAATGAAGCACCTGCAATCAGTACAAGGCAGAACCAGCTCAAATGTCCCCAGTGTTTGTCTTCCTCATGCATGAGCTATTGCCTATATTGGCGCCATTGAAAGCCAAATTCAACAGTTTGCTAGATCATTTTGTCACAAAATATTGCAATTTGCCCTGGGGGAAAGATTGCTTGAAATGCAATTCAATACTTTTATAGAAAATCACACAAGCTGGTGGTTAAAAACCTGCTGTAAAGGTCTAACATTACATACATGTATGGGTGGCAGCAACATTTACTTTCCTGGGCATGTGCACACACCCCACTCTTGCATTTATAGGTAGAGACAAAAGGGGAAAGAATGATTGCAAGATTTGGTTTCCACCAAGACTTTGATAGTTGGACCTCAATTACGTTCTTGAATTTATATCTAGTGGCCAAAAATAGCCAAGGGAATCCTTTTAACAGGCTACAAGATTTGAATGACCCCTTATCAGATTACACAACCACAGAACACACATTTGTAACCATAACGCTAAAGCCTTCATGCTGAAGACTTTAAAACAAAAGCAGTTTAAGGTTCTTAAAGATATGCAGTTATAGATAAAGATAATACCAATGATTAACAAAATCCGTACCTGCCAGATATCAGAAGACACTGATACTCAAAAGCTATCTATCTTGTTTTCGGGGTTGCCCCGGTATCACAAACAAAGGTGGTTTCATTCAGTCATGTGTATGGGTGGTACCGCCCGGTTTGGCCAACACGCAAACCAAATACTACATTGTCGGCTTGTCAGACACACTGTTTCAAACAAAAGGGAACACATTCCCAACCTAAAGGTCGATAGGTGCCGCTGACAATGCACTTATAGAGTTGTGGGTTTTTTTAATCAAAAATGAAGAAGAAAATGTTTGGGGTTTGGTGACAAAAATTAAAGATGTTTGACCACAGAAATCAACACTCTAAAATTCTTACATTACATTCTAAATCCTTGTATTTTGATAATCTACATTAAGCAACGAGTAGAAACAGAAGAATTTGGTTTGAATCAAATACCTACCAGGACTGGAGTTGTGACTATAATGTTGTTATGTTTGGTTATTATGTTTGCTAAAACATTGTTCTACTGATCCTTCTTCACTAAGTTACCAAACTATTCCGATTACAGTCTTACAGTAAATCGTGACATATTGCAGTGGTCTTATGTTGACTTATTCCTGGTGAGCTCTCAAGGCGATCACATCAATCCACGTGTATTTGTTCTGTCTTGAATTTATTACTAGTATTAATACTGCCAGGGCTCAAAATTGCTTTTTCGGAATAGGTACACTCCAGTGGACCTAACCAAAAAATTAAGCTTCAAATTAAATTCAAAAATAATGAAATAAAAAATTATGGGTGCACAGGCTTTTAGCTAGGGGGTGTCCAGGGTGTCTTTTGGACGCCCTGTACTTAAAATAATAAGAAATTGGACGCCCTACTTTTTGGCAGGACACCCTAAAGACGCCCTATTTTTTTCACTCCCAACCCCTGCCATGCACACATGCCTCCCTTCAGAATTACTATGAATACAAAAATGATGGTTTACTAAAGGAAAAAACTAAAAATCCTCAAAATTTGCATCTCAAAATGCAAAAATTAGTGTGTCAGAGCATTATGAAATTAAAAAAAGACCCCCTAAAAAGCTTGTGCACCACGCATCTTTGCTGCGCATAGCATACAATAAAAAAAATGGACACCCAACAAAAAAATCCTAGCTAAAAGCCTGTGGGTGCATTACACAACATACAATTAAGATAGCCCACTTTGCAGACTGGTGTGGTGGCAGCATTACATACATCATAACGTTATATTTTCCCGTACTGATCAATATTACATTTCCAAGTGACATACGTGTATATCCATGTGTAGATTAAACTGTATATCAAACTCAAAGTGTATTCTTGTGAATTCTACTATTCTCCTCTCTCTGTATATTCCTGCCACCAAACACTCCTTGAACGTCCGCTGGTGCAGGAAAAGGCTGGGTTTGTTTCAGCCAAGCATATCTCCTTCAGTACAAGACATCATTTTATACTATGTTGTCACAGGGGTTCCTATTTTCTGCTGTCCACCCTCTAACGTCTAATTTTTAGGGGGATAAAAACCTAATCTACTAGTATGTAATGGCATGGTCACATTCGTTGTAGGTCAGTTTAGGCCATTGTGCAATGTTGATGTCGTAGAATCTTCAAGCAGGCTGGCGTGACAAGGTGTGCCAACAAGAACCTGTATTGTGTACATGTAAGACAGCTTTTTTCTGTAACAAGACAGCTGAAACACATGACATTCCTGGAATCCAAGTATGCCTTCAGTTTGGCAATTGTACAGTGATAGTATGACATATATCTCCAGGCCCGAACATTAGCTACAGAGTACACAGCTGGGAGGAGTGTCACAGAACACCTTCACTGTTCAAGTGCTTGACTTGAAAGGAAGTGGAAAGCATTCCTGGCCCCACACAGCCACCATATTGTGTGACAAGTAGATCCACACCATTCCACCTACACAGTAATGCTTGGGGGCCTTGGCTGAGTTGTTGATGTTATCCTGCTTCTGATCTCAAATCGAAGCTCTACATTGACATCTCAAAGTTTCACACATTGTTATTAATTTGTTATTGTCGTGCCAATGTCTACACACACATGTACATTTGAGAATTCTAATTGACTGATGACAAGCCAAGCAAGTTACTAAACTTGTAGCGAGCCTAAACTACAAATACGAGACAGGATGGCACCCAGCCTACAAACCTGTCGGGCTGGCTTGTTTTGTTTTCCCTCTGCCTTGTACCAGATAAATGTTGTTCTTCCATGTCTGTTGTACATAACATAGTTACAATCACAACCCCATTCTGGCTGAACGGCATAGACTAATTCCAATATGAACTACACATCATGCATATAAATGATAGACTACCACTGCAAATATCAGCTGAAGAAGAAAAAGGAAGGGGAACAGACATGATGATATACAAGCTGCCACATGGGGAGATGATACCATAGGTCCTCTTTTAAGTCTTGTGTGGGATTTTACTGAAAATCAAGCACCTTCTGTTCACACGTACAGAGCTCAACATTGCCTAAATGTCAATGTGATTCAATTTTTAGAAAATATTTAGGTACAACAATTCAAAATTCATTTTATCTTCCTCAAATCCAAATTGGACTGGCATAATTTCTGGCTACAAATGTACATGCATGTATATAATAGTATGTACGATCATCTGTGCAATCAAGACTACATTACCATATGCAAAACTGGAATCACAGCTGGTCAATTAGTGGGGAAGCCTGATGGGTGAATAATAGGCATGATGTCAGCTTATCTAGAAATACTTCCAACTGCACAAAGGGTCAAGTCACCTACATGTAAGGACAATCCTAGTGAGAAACCAGTGAGTGTGAACCTGAACCAAGTGAAATCCAGCACCTAGAGACCAGCTGACTAGTGAAATGGACAATAACAACAACAACAAAAAGATTGCAAATATTAAAGTACATGTCACGATGAAAGGAACTACGAATTCGTTAGGCATGCTTACTCTAACATAACTGATGAACATTAAGATATAGAGCAGTTGCCAAGTAATTACTGACTGTGTGTACAACTAAAACAACCAATTAGCCTCTAAGGTAAAACCTGTCACCATCTGAGCATAAATAGTCTAGACTTGCCTCGGGGACCAGCTGCCAACACAGCAATACACACTTAACGTTACTAGTAGAGACCTCTTCCCTTGGCAAATACTTACCTTTTTCTTTCTTTTTAAAGCACAATAATCATAGATAATTAAGTTATGGGCCAGAGTTTGGTGTAGAATTACTTTGGAATGTAAATCAAATTTAGGGCACTGGTAGAAAACAAAAGCCTCAGCAACAGGGAAATGACGTCTGAATGCCATGTACAGTTGTGCAGTGTTTACTGTACACCTTATATAACAGCATGATTAATTTACCGACCGTTTTAGAAGTGTGTACAGATAACTAAATTTGTGTGCACGTCTTTACTTTAGTTACGCTTTCACTTCACAAACAGTACAGGAACGACAAAGGAAACACTGTCGAGTTGTGTTTGCTAAATTATGGTATTTCCTATTAAAGCGTGAGAAATTTTCACATGTGAGTAATCAGGTTACAACCACTCAACGCTGAACACTTTTGGCCGTCACCAGTGGACACTATTTACGCAACAGCCTGAAGCAAACACCTTTGTCAACCTCAATCAAATTATTTCAAAATCGACCAGATCAAGAGACAGCAACACAGATCTAGAGGAAGGAGCGGTCAAACCGCACTTCTGTATAACGCGGCGTACATCATGATTATGATCTCATACACCCTTCAAACACACTGTACCGTACTATGATTAGTAAAGAGAGAAGTTAATGTTTAACCTGACTCCCTAACCCGGCTCACCTGTGCTCCTGATCCATTCATTGCCTTCTCCCCGCACCTGGCCGCGCCTGCGTGCTGGGAGTGCGGTCAAAGGTCGGTCCATGATGGCGGCGGGACTGCGGCAGGACCTGCTGGGGAAGGTGGACGGGGAGAGGTTTGAGACGGTAGGACGGGAGAGATCGGGGGAGACTTGGGCTGGGTGGGAGCTGACAGGGGGAGGAACCTGTGGAGTAGTTCTGTTGGGAGTACTCCCTAGCATAGTGGAGTAATCCACCGTTGTTGTTGAGGGAGGGGTGGGTGTCCGGAGCAAAGTTGGTCAGGAAGGGGCGGAAACTATATTTTGGCGAAGCATCAGGAGCGAGCCTAATAGTATATCAGGAATTTCTGTAATGTCCAGCCATCAGTGTGGCCCCAAAGTAGGTTCTTTTGTATGGGGTATCCATTCCCGACTATCAATACATATTTTTCTACATCCTCATTACTAACGACAATGTCAGCCATGTCACGTTGAATTCATCATCGTCCTCCTTCCCTCTAGGAGATGATGAGCTGTTGAATTAATGATATTGTTAAGTGAAATGCCTGTGTCTCCATGCAGCTTCTCCATGAGATAGTAGACTGGGTGTGCCGGGGTGCAGCCCCGTCCTACCAGCCCTACAGTCAGACGTGGGACCTGGACTCCTGGTGGCACGTCCTCAACTCAACCAAGTCCTTCCTGCTCCTGGCAGTCAAGGAAAACCTCTCCAAGGATGGGGTCAGTCCTTAGAGCCACACTTCAAAATATGATTCAACAGATTAGAGACTTTAGACTGCTGGGAATTATGCAATCCTCGGCTTCCTGAATTCCCCCGCGGCCCGTGTCAACTACAAACACCTGCCAGCTCCCGGTCAGACTCTGAGACATTTGGCTCCCTGTCATTCAGCTTTACAGATTGTGTTTGATTTGCATTTTCTCCAAAAATAACTGTTCAGTGCCCAGATATTTCAGCTCAAATTTGCCCTTGTCTGGATGTTTGAGTGTCCACAGCTCACTTGTCTCTCCTACAGGTGCTGGAACACCTAACAGGTCTAGACTCTGACCACCAGCAGTGCTTCCTGCAAGTCATCACAAGTAGGAAAGAGGACATCAGACTGGCACTGATTTCAGCTACAGCAGCCATCTCTCAGGGGGCCTTGGAAGATTTGGATTGGCAAGTTAAGGTGATCTTTGACATCATTGCTTGGTTTAAGATGAGGGTGGAACAGGAAGGGATCCCCCTGAAATGCTCTTCTTTTGCTGCTTGTTTTATGTTTGATCAGTAGTTAGTAGCAATCTGAAACAAATCTTGCCATCTCTTTTAGCTGGTGTTGTCAAGCGACAAGATTTCGTCAGTGCAGAAGCCTGTGTTAGGATTGGACCTGGCTGTGAACAAAGAGGGACAGAGAGAGTCCCTGAGTCTGGAGCTGTCACAAGAAGAAGTAGCTAGTCTTGTTACACAACTGGAAGCAGCAAACAAGGTGGGTGTTTGCATAGAGATGGGGAGAGTTACTCTGGATGCCAGCCTTTTTTATCTTTAGTACACTCTCTCAATCACTTCCCTGCCAAAAAGACTGCACTCGTGCATAGTCTATCCATCTTGTAATTGCTGCCTATACATAATGAGCTAATTCACTTGAATGTGATTTTAGGATTGTCATCTAACTATCTTTACTGTCAAAGATATTGTACCTTTACAATCTATCTTAACATGTTTTGTACTTGTTTGCAGGTGGTCACACAGATGAAGACGTGACACACTTCAATAGACCATGAAGAGAGCACATCATTGTATCTTATCTTTTGTATACATAATGAAGATGATTACCTTAAGACTTAGTCATGTAAAATATTTAATGTATGATTTACTGCAATACTTACACATATTGTTATCATTTTGTTTTCACATTGTGGCCTATATTATCCATACAGCAGAAGAAAAATAAAAGTACATTGTAAAAGTCTTGACTCTGTATGCAGATGGTTTGTTGGAGCTAAGTTGTACTTGCTCCTGTATCACTTCTTGTCACAGTGCACCAGAGGAGAAGCCTGGTTACTTTACATCTGTCCTGATAGACTCAAACTGCTCAGGTATCCACAACCCAGAGCGTACAGGCTACCCAAGGAGGGGTGCATGTTATTACAATCCGAACAAGAAATCAGAGATTTTAAACCTGCAGGAAGTGTTTTGGGTTTTCGTGAATATATTGGAACTAGTTGAGGGAATTTTATGACATGATTTTAATCAGGTATAATACACAGTCAAACAATGTTTCCCCACCTGGCGCAGGCTGGGTCACCTTCAGACTTGACCTCTGTCAATCAATTGCAAGTAGTACATTGTAGAGACAGCTGTTACCACTGTCGTGGCCATGGGAGAGGTCTGTTCCAGGTACTGTACATGTACCAGGCCATGATATGTGATCTGACCTGCCCTGTCTTGTAGCAGAAAACAGCTTTCAATATGGTAATTTTGCATTTCAAGGGGCAAAGGGTTACACATGTATATTGCAGAATGACCTAGTAACAACGACATATTAAACACAAGGAAAAAAGAATTGTGCAATTTTTTTTAAAAACGAACATTTAATACTAAATTGAACATACAAGAAATGTGCAAAACGGTACAAAAAGATGCCCCAAACGAACCAGAGCCATGCATCTGCTTCACCTTGGGAGATTATATTTTACTCTTCTCTGCCATGCAATGCTGGAAACGCCCCCTAGCGTTTGTATTTAAACTTGCACATTACTGCAAAGAGGAGATGTTCCTGCAATTTATAAAATGCTAGTATATATTAACTTTACATAGATGTTCGTCGTAGATTTCGTTCAGCCTTCCGAGTTATACCTACAAGACACATTAATGAATAAATTTTTCGACAGGACTAGACATATGATTATCGATGAAACACTTCCGTACATGTGTATTCGGGTTGACCATTGGTTGACGTCTATCAAGCTCCCACTGGCTCACCCAGTGCTCATCTCTCGTCCAGTGCAATTTTTAGGTCTTGGAAACCCGATTTTTCAAAGCCAATATTCTACTTATTTATATACACATTGAGTTGAAACCACACTATCCCAATGTATATTGACCCTCATGGAGCAAAAATTATGACGGAAAATGGTTACTGGAAGGGCCCTGGGGGTTGATTTTTTAGGACCACCCAAAAGGACTCATCTTAGGGCTTGTTTCTGCAGTTTTAAATGCCCAAAGTATGAAATTCTGATTTAAATGTGCAAATGTCAAGCAGTATGTGTCAATATCACAAAGATTATCTTATGCAGAATATTTCCAGTTTTGCTGCCCTGGTATCAGAGGAATTTACCCTAAACAGGGTAAATTTGCCATTCCTAATATGCATATGGATAAGTGATGCGATTGAAACTGTTTGAAAACGCATTGAGAAATATTACCTTTTCTGTCATTTAAAGCTTCTAAATAATGTTTGATAGACCTTTCGGGATTCGAAGCTAACATACGAGCCTTAGGTTGTAAAGAACTAGAACTGTTAGGTATGGATTGCCGGCAAGTAGAATGAAGCCTGTAGGCCTCGCCGGCCTCTTGCACGATTCGAACCTGATTACAGGTGCATTATTGGTATGCAGCTAGCTCTGAACGTCTATCCTTTATATAAGTTGCAGGTCAGCGGGGCCTTGATTCTGCCGACACTATCAGCTCTAATCATCACTCGCGCTGTTAGCGCACCCTGCTCTGAGGGTGGGGCGGGTTACTACTGCTCTGTATTGACTAAGCCATGATGAAATCGGTTGCCAGCTGGGATTATATTACATGTATTACATTGTAGAATGCGCCAAACTCTTCCCAATGTAGGGAATTGGGAGCTAGAGATTCCGCTGACACAAAGGCAGAAATCGAATTTCTATTGATGCGAAGATGGATCGATCTCAAACCTGCGTCTCGGTCCTTCGCTCTACGTGCCACCAAAGTAAGTGTTCAGGTGCGACTTGCGACGTATACATTATTGATATGGGGACCGAGAGAAAAGGCAAGAAGAGTCATTTATCGCCAGTCTCTGCCAGACTCCTCTCGGGCCTGAGAGATATTAGCAAGTGGTCAAAATTGGATGAATAATTTTCCGGCCAGGCTAGGTCCCGCGGGTCTAATCGACCAACTCCTGATGCAAAATTATTCATGTTGGCAGAAATTCTTCCCTTGCTCCGACCCGTGAGAAATCTTATTGGAGACTGATTTATTACGTGAGCGGGGCGATATTGCAGTCTTCAGTACGTGATCTGCAAATAGATGACTCAGTGAGGGAACACTAGTACTGCCACGTCTCGGTAGAGAAAATGGAACATTTTTACACAAGTACCCATCATGTCCCTTCTTGGTCCGCCCTTCAATATGGCAGCCTGGTATGGCAATTGGCACCAGCAGAACATTATTAATGGGATTAGCCTTTCAATAATGAATCATATATTTTTCATGAAAAAAGCAGGAGAGTAGTCCCCTCTTTATACATGCATTTGGGTCTTTTTAGTCCCTGGGATGCATCCAAGTTTCATCC